TCTGGTATTTTTTCATCAAGATAATGTATACCACCTCTCTCTGAAAGAAACCATTAATTCGACCTCTGTCCTTTCTCCCTCTTCAAGACCAAGTCTAGACAAAGTGGAGAGGAATGGCTTTCTTTGTAGCAAGCATCTCTCTTCATAGTAACAAATCTAAAATTTACATTGAAACTAGCAAAGACACACAACTAAGTTAGCATCCCATTAGTTCTCCTTACTAAGGTAATCAAAGATGTTTTTTCTTTAATAAAGCATATGAAGGGAAGCATGACAAGAGCATTATGTTAGTAACTGTATTAAAAAAAAATTCTACATGTAGGGTATGCCATAAAAGAATAATTAAAAGATAGTGAAGCAAAACTGTGCAGAGGCATGGTGATGTGGGGGGCCAAAATCAAACCTGCATAACAGCTGTATCCATTGGAGATGTGTTAAGGGTCATTGTGCATCAGTTGTATATTGTGACATCCATACAGCTCTTCCTGATTTATCTTGTTAAGAGATAGGGGCCTTTTGGTTTCAAAAGAAGTATATTCATATTTGCATTTGAAATACTGGGTCTTGGAAGTAGAAGGAAGCCTCCAGATGTGTCAGCATTGCAGTTGAGTCAGCATAGCAACACAGGAAGGCACCCAAATAAACTTAGCAGTTTGTGTGCTGGTACCAGTGCAGCTGTAGCAACATGGCACAAACCTAACTAAGACCCTGGGTACTTACTCACCAGCTAAAACCCTTGCCACTGCAGCCTCATAGCTATGAAGATGAGAGCTAGCTTGTAGCTAGATTGTATCTGGTTTAGATTTGTCTCCACAAGCTACAGTTGCATTCCCACTTGTCTAGATAAATTATTCTCTGGTGCCTTGGGGTGCCTTGAGATCCTGGATTTCAAGGGTGCTGTGGGGTGTCACACAATGTTAGACACTGTTAGGTGTGCAAACATGATTCACAAGATAAAGCCAGGGATTTCAAACAGGAATTCTAACTTGATGTGGGCTTTCTGGGTTCTTTGCAGCAGAAAAACTGCTCTCTGGTTTTCCTGTAGTCAAAAAACAAGTGAAAACTAAGAGCTGGAGTTTTCAGAGTGGTATCTTGAGTCTTGTGAGATGTTCTGCAAGTCGGATGTGGGGTTTCTCAAGTCTGAAAAGGTTTAGACAACCTCTGGGCGAACCAATGTAATTGCCATGTCGAGTGGCCTGAAAGAGGTCCGGTTATGTCGCTGAACCTCTTATAGATGCTATCATTGACATTTATGACATTTCGTAAACAAAATAAATATTAAGTATTCTTTCAGGAGGCTGGAGGGACTAGGCAAGAACCCTGATGTAATTTTTACATGTCAAATTCAAAAAGAGTGGATCTACAAAGAAACCAAACAAGGTTCTAGTATGAGGCTACAAGCAGACAAAACAACATTTTGAAACCATGTGTCAGTGAGTGAAAATGTGCAGCTGATAAGTACATTCTGTATTATGGTGTTTGTGGTATTGTCAGGCTGATGCAGCATCAGAAGAACACCACAGGATTGTAATCATGAGACAGTAGCAAGAATGACATGAATTTATATCGCTTATGCTGAATTGCTTGGTTCCTGTCATTATGCTGAAAAGCAAGAAGACTAAGAAGGTTATTGTCCTGTAAACATCATTTGAACTCTGCTCTACCACTGCTTTCTCAACATTTTGAAAATCATTGTCCAGCTGTTTCCATAGATATGTTTATTTGCGTGATGATTCCTGAATTGATGTAGATCTAAAAGGTCGTATTAACTTTTTGCAAAGCAGTTTTCTATTCCTATGGCAACATTTTTTATGATAGTGTGTAGAATCTTATAGCTTGTTGGCTTAACAGCATATCCACAGTGGCTCTTTTAGTCTTTTTTTTCCTCATGTTCAGAGATCATCCCCTCTTCCTGTGCACTCAAAACATTGAGTTCCTGGTTTCTCTGTCTTCCTTGAGAGGTGGAAGAACTGCTCTTCTGTCTGGGAGCTTGGGCAATGTGTTTTTTTTTAAATTAAACAAAACATATTCTAGTGGCAAAAGTACAGAAACAGAAAAAGTAACAAAAAGTGACAGAGACTGAGGGCTTGTCTATGTAACATAAGACATACACGTTATTGCTGTGTCTGCTAGCTTCCAAACAAGAAGCAGTAGAGCCACATTAGTGTGGTGCCACATAGCAAGGGACTCTTTTGGAGGTCCCAGCATGGATACATGGATGCCCCTTTAGCCTTCCCCTAGCAATGCTAGTGCTTCTTAGATTTTCAGAGTGAAATAAGCTAAACCAAATTGAAGTAATTTTAATTCTGAATAGGGCTGCACACAGGGAGGGGTCACATGTAATTGAAATAATTCACTTGAACATTTAGTTGTGATTTATTTACTAAGCCTCAGGTCCCTTTCTTCCAGCCCAGATGAAACCAAACAACAGAATGTTTCCTTTAAAAGCACTTATTCTAGTGAATCCTTTTAGTTCAGAAGTAAGGTAAAATTCTGAATACAAAATAAATAGGACTTAAAACTCCCGAGGGACTTATCCTTTTAAGGCACTTGTGAATATTTTACCCATCATTCCTAAAGAAATGTTAATGCATTGCCTTCCAGGTTTGCTTTGCAGAGGGTTTAATCATGCTCTTGGGGGGTTTTTTAATGGGCTACCAGCAAGTGTTCTAAGACATGCCATGGCACATTAATGGAACAGTTTCAATCACCTAATTTGTTCACATCAATTTCTCCACACCAGTGCCACAGATCTCTTCTTCACTCCCTATACCAATATTAGTAGGCTCAGATACAGCATACTGAAATGGAAAATTGGATGAAATGGACCTACTTCTCACAGTCATCATCTTCCTTTTTTATTTTTTGAGCATTTTTTAAAATAGGGAAATTAATCCAACATGGAACTTTTTAAGTTGACTCACCAACATTCTGGTATATGGTTAAAAATATGTTCTGCAGCTCGTAATTTGCAGATGAATGTAATTGGTCTTTCCTTTATCATTTCTAAACATTAATATAATTTACCAGTATTCTGTGTGATTAGCAAGATGCTCTATTGGTTTGGAGAAAATTAGGCCTTTGGATTTTTTTTAATGAACTTTTTCCTAGAGAGCTTCTCAGCATGCTATGATAATTCCCTGGTTATATCTTTTAATGTTATGACAAAGATTTGGAACAGGGAAACTGCCTGGACTTAATCCAGCTTTGCAGTAATTACAATCAGATCAGTGCCTATGGCATTTTGTGTATGTGTTAGTTAAATGAACACAAACCAGTGTTAATCCATGCAAGCTGAGCAGCCTAGCTAGAAGTTATCTATATCTATATGAAGTCTTCTCTTTTTCTCCTCCCATGTCCATTTACACATCAACTATTGAAATTAAGTCCTGCTGCCTGCTGATGTCACAGACAAATAGACATGCCAGACTTCTTTTCAATGATGGAAAGATAAAGGGGGAAGGGTGGAGCAGGGGAGGGGAAGAACCAAAAGTTGTATTTTACATATCTGAATGCATTCACTATAGCATCTGCTGTTCTCTACCTGCAGGGTCCCAAAGGCTATCCAGGACTACTGGGTCCACAGGGTGAGCAGGTAAGTAACACAAAAAAACATTCCTTTAACACATGTTTTTCCAAGCATGTTATGTACCACTGAGCATAAGGATGATGAATGAGATTTTTCTGCTCAAGAATTTAATATAGATTACTGATTAGTTGAAGAAATGATTGATAGAGTATATTTTGTCCAGATGCTTAGCTGCCATAGAGAGAAGTGCAGTGTAAAGACCTAGATAAATTAAAATAGTTTATTTTCTCCAACTATTTTGATCACCTAGTAGAAGTGTGGTTTGCAGTGCTTCAGGAGGAAGCAATTCAGATTCTTTCAAATCTTTACTGACTGGGACTTAATAATACATGCTTAATCTGTTGCGGAGAAGGAGCAAAATGTCTGCACTGCTTTCTTCACACTTCCATATCAATTCAAGGGATAGCTTTAACATGAATTTTTTAGGTAACTGTTTGCTACTCCTCCATGCCAAGATAAGCACCTACAGCTCCCAAATGTATAGCCATGGAGTAGACTTAATTTTTTTCTACACAATGCTGAATGTACTGTCTGTGACAAAGAAATAGTAGTGATAATCACCAAAGGGGAATGCAAATACTGAGGGCATTATCTAAACCTTTAACTGAATTCTACACCAAGACTCAAAATGATGGGAAGATCCTACCAATAATCTCAATTCAGTTTCACAAGTAACTTTATAACAGATTATTACTTGTTCGAGGTCAGTGGAAGAAAAACATTAACTGCGGGGGCAATTAGTTCTGAAAACCAAAGGAGCTGCAAGTGGGGAAAAAAAAGCAAATCCATTGGGAGGGATTCATGGGTGAGGATATGAGTCAGATTCACCCCAAGAACAATTTTGGCAGTAAACAAGTGTGTTAATTTCCCTGAGGAGAATCTGATATGTAAGACCTCAGTATGAAATTACTGTCTGCACATCTCAATAAAGCCATACTACTGTTATACATAATGTTATTCTTTGTTATATTATTTTGGAAATATTTAAAACTATTTTTTAAGAGTTTTGGGAAAGGTTTATTCAACAGATGTTTCCTGTTACTGCTATTTTTAGGCCTTTTAGAAGGTGATGCATAATCTTAAAGGATGGCATGGAAAGACTGAGAAAAATTAAAGTCAGTTTACATATCACCAACAATAGAATTTGTGATTTTCCAAAAAACTTGCCTGTTGTTTGGAATTTCCATAAACTTGCAAAGAAAAGAAAAATGTTTCTGTACATTGATCAAGTCTTTAATTACTTGAGAAGGAATGAAAGCAAGGGTTTAAAAATGGAAATAATAAAAGAAATGGGTCTGGATTCACTGTCACTTGTGAGATGATTCAGCCAAAAATATCAAGAGGCCCCTTAACTGTTTCAAGTTTTAGAGATCGCAGAGCCTGGTTCCATGGCAGACCACCCATTCATGGCCTAGCAGGGCAAGGAAGTGAAAGAACATCCTTGAACACACACAACATTTTTTGCCTCTGCACTCATGACTCCCAGTTCTTTGGTTGTTTTTCTTTACATCAAACCAGCTATGTGCAGCTCATGGCCTACTGATCTAGTGACTCATGTGACAACAGGTGAAAAGGCTGGACAGTTTCTAAGCCACCCTATGGACCTGGGTTATTTAAACAAATTATCTAAGGAGCTAGGGGTAGAGAGTCCATTTCTTCAATGTGTCCAGTGAAAATGTATCACTTGGAACCATTGCAGAAGGAAATATTTTCCTTAAAACAGTCAAATATGGAGATATTAAACACATGCAAAAATAGCTACAAAATATTTGTGAACTTGATAAGAAAAGGAATAAAGGGATAAGTAAGCATTTACTGCACCCATTCCTAATCCAGGTTTACATTGACCTAACCCTGGACAGTTACGAGAAAATTCAGATACACAAGGATGCAAAGATCTTTCATGCATGCATTTGTTTAATAAAAGTGTCAGTCTCAACAAAATGGCTAATATTAGTGTCAGCTTGGGTTATACGCACTATAAATATTTCTCCCCTAAGGGCATCTCCAGTTGTGCACAGCTAATTTTGCCAAACACTGCCCAAGTTTTTCCTTCACAAATCAGTGTTCTTCTTTTTAGCACTCACCTTCTGTTGGACTTGTCCTTCCTTGCAGTGTGTTTCAAATGTGTTTTCCATTGCTCAGTGAGTAGCTGATGTTGACTTTAGTTGTGTGTGACAAGTGTGTTTCATAGGTTCTCTTTCTCACCTACGCAAAAAGTAGTCTTGCACTGAAACGAAGCACTTTCACATTGCCATTGAGTGAAAAATGCACGAAAGATGAATGCTATTTTTTTTCTTTTTAAATCTAGGGAATTCCAGGAATGGCTGGCAATAATGGAGCAGTTGGTTACCCTGGCAGGCAGGTGCCGTAACTATGCTATAGATTTATATGTTTTCTTTATTGAGCACCTTTTCCGTTCTGTGTATTGGTTAGTTATTTATTTTCTCCTGCCTCTCTTGGGTAATTTTTAGTCTGATGTATGCTATGCATGGCTTGTTCATCAGCAGGAAATGATTTGTGAAACCGATCTCCCTCAAAAAGATTTTCTGCTACCACGTATGATTGATGTCACTTCTGAAAGCACCATATCAATATCTGGTTTTCTAATAGCTTTGCATTGGCTGACATTGTGTCATTAGCCCCTGTAACAAACCCTTTTTAGAGATGGTGTTCATTGTACCTTCCATATTGGACACAGAAGAGGTTAGACTCAGAAACTTTGTGTTCCTTTCTAGTGCATACCAATCTTGTTACTAAATTACAGAAAATATACAAATTGAGTATTTCTCTGAAAACTGTCTTTGTTCTCTGAAATTTTTAACATCTAAAGTTCAGAATAAAAAGGAAACATTCTACTACAATATGGTTTCTGCTTATTTACAGAATAAGCAGATTATATTTTAAATTGATTTACATATTTATTTATTTATTTTAAATATGTTTATTTACTGCTGAAACTAATGAAAATACTTCTTCACCTTTCATGGGGAAACAGAACGTTAAAGTGTTTTTTCCATTCAGATATCTGTGAGAGACCCAACAAAAATATCTACTGCTATACTTGCAAGCACTTTTTAATATTGATTTTAATATACTTGTAACAAATGCTTAGCCCAGCATAAGTATAAATGATGTATGAAAAGTAAATGGCAGCCATTTTACCTGACATTAAAGATACATAACGTGTGTTCAATTTTCAGTGGAGCTGTGGCTATGTATACAGCTGAAGTTGACCACTGACCTAAAATGTTTTGACATTTTATTACACCAACATTCTGGTGGCTATATATTATAAAGTATTATCAAATAGTTTTTATAGTAGTGGGTGGCAAATTGCCAACATTCAATCATATAAAATACTTTGCAACGTTGGAATAAACTTATTATTCTGGCATTGGCCAGAAAATAACCGGAACTTCATTCAATCATAGAAGTTTATGGAAAGCTTTGTGAAATTATTTTACTGCTAACAACTCCTCAACTTCAGACGAAATTACAGCTTGCTCTGGAAGAACTTACCCCACAAACTAACTCAAATGTTAAGGAACCTGTAATCATTGCCAGGCAATTCACACATGAATTGAAGGAAAACACCTCTCTGAACTGCCATAATTGTGAAAAGCACATTGTCAGTTTGAAAATTAACAGTTACTGCTATAGCCCTTTTAAGTCTTGTATTTGCACTTAGTTTACGTAAACTAAAAGACATATCTTTTCATATTAGGGTTTAGCCGGACCAGAAGGTAACCCAGGTCCTAAAGGTGTAAGAGTAAGTAAGTTTTTTTAAGCATTATGGCGCACTCCTCTGTATTTTTGCACTGATAGTATGTAGGAAGGGGAATGAGATATTTCACTTGGATTTGGCAGTTGTATGTCCACTGAATCACTCCATCTGTTTTGCAACCCACTAATAACAAAACTGTTTTATTTGAAATGTTAATTGTTTCTTTCTTTTTCATGTCTGAAGTGAGCACTATAGTATCATATTGATGCTTTTCTTTCTCCTGGAATTTATACAGGCAGGGAAAAGAAAAAGAAAGCTGTGAGACTGTGTGTGAACTGACTGTAGAGTGGAATGGATATTTCTTGCCTGGAGCATTATTTTTCGTAATAGAAGCTGTCAAAAATGAAGAAGTATCTGGCTCTTGTGATCTATAAATGTTGCAAATGCTGAAGGAAATCTTATAATATAATTCAGTCAGATTTTTGGTTAGATTCTAAACTATTTCAGTTGATGTAACTCACACACATTTGGGTTACAAATCTTGATATTTTTCAGATTTAAGAGTTGCTTAAACCTAGCTCAAATTCCAAGAGAAAAATAGAGGGGTTTTTTCCCTGTTTTGTTTATATACATACAAATGTGTATTCTTTCAAATTCACTCTCCTCAACAGATCATTAGGTTTGGATCAGGTATGAATCTTGTGTTAGCGGTGTTTTGTAACCTGAGATTTGAAATTGCTTTACACTAGCAAGTTCTCAGGCTTTTGATCCTATGGGGACTCCCAATTGAACAGGTTACTGATGAAGGCAGGGTGGAGATGCACCTTATAGATTAGCTGAATCAGGTTACTGATGAGTTTACCATGTACTTCATGGTGTTCCATTAGATGTTTACATCAAGTTTTTGGGTCTGTGCAATGTATCTTTTATTGCAATTGTAGTTATTTAAAACCTCCTTTCTTTTAATTTTGTGCTCAGTTTCAGTAAGTGTTGGTCAAAGTCATTCTTCTGTTTGTCAGAATCTCATACCAAAATGTTCTGCAGTTTGGTGGCTTGCACTCATTGGGTATCTGTTCTTTTTTTCTTCCTCCAAACTCCTCCATAAATCTTCAGCTATATCCTTTTTCATTTGCACAAGAGAACCAGGTGATCTCGGTCCCTTACAGAAAAATTTCCACTTCCTTTTTCTTTTTGTACAGAGGCATCTATAAATGGTCAGTCATTATTAATATGAGTCATTGCTAGACCAGTCTCAGAATGTAATGTTTTAAGCATACTATGTGAATCCTGCATCATCCTTTTTTCAAATTTTGTATGTAATATCATTGACATGATGACATGTTTTTATGTTGTTGAAACATATAATTATTTCAATATCATTAGAGCTCTTAAAGTTAGACCATATTTCTAAAATATCACTACATCCTGCTTATTTATTTAAAAGTATTAATAACATATAAGGAATCAAGACTGAGAGCTGCAATTTTTAAATCATATATACAATACCAAAGATCATTGGACTTCCTGAAATTCCTTAGCAATAAGTTAAGGTATTTCATTCAAATCAGAAGACTGTAGAAGTAGATGTGAAAACAATGATTGTTTTTAGTAGCTAATACCTGCAGAGATTCCTGCCATTTGATTGTGCCAGGTCACAGCCTTTATCCATAGAATCCCTGTATTGCACGTTTGTTTGTGTCAGTTTGTAAATGAATCTCACAGTGTATATGTAGAGGCAGAGCAACAGAAGCCTGAAAATTGAGCTTTGGAAGCAATACATAGGTGTATAATAGAAATCACTGAAGACATGAGAGTAAGATTAAATTTATCAGGGCATTTGGATTAGTTTACAAATCTTAAGGTTCTGAAATTAAATTATTAATGCATTGACAATTTTAAAAAATATACAATTTTAAAAACATTCCCCTAGATAGTTCAGTGCACATGAAACTTTTATTTTTCCTGATACAGTTGTCCTTTGACTAGTTTTGTAGGAGAGGAAATTGGCCTTGTAATTCATGTTGTTAATATATCCAGACATAAAATTTGAGCTTCACTTTCTAGCCATTGGAATAATCATTAATGATCATTTTTTATGATCTTTTCTTATTATCCAGTAGAAGAAAGTTACACATGCTGTTCAACAGTGTCATGACAATTAATTTCCTACCCCTTATAACTTTTCATGATTTTTCAGTTGAACTTTTCATGATTTTTCAGTATGTGAGGTTTCTGCTCTTGCCATTGTAATGATGAAAAATGGAATAGTTTCCTAAACCAGCAGCGGAGAGCAACATTTACAAAAATGCCCAACTGTCTTAAATGTAATTTTCATGCAATACTTTCTTCACATTCAGACTTTACTTTCTTAACTTTTGGTTTCTGTCCTTTAGCCAGTGATTAATTGGATGCTATGGGAACAAATCTCAGGACTATGACATCTCTGTTTGCCAAGGGTTAGCATGTGGCCTGTCATCTCGGGCCTATATTCTTGGTCTTATAAATGAATTTTATTCTAGCAGATACCTCCCATATCACTTTCAAAATGGAAAGCAGTTGTGTTAAGTTATGGGTTTCCAGTTTTTGACACAACAACAAAAAATAATTCTCAGGCAACCCCACTCCACCTGGAAACAAAAAAAGGATGAGAAAACAAAAATTGAACTGACTTGAACAGTGGGTATTGCTCACTAGTTTTTTAGTGGTGTGCATAATTATACCCTTCTGCTTACATGGTAAAAATAACATCTTTACCACATTTTCAGGAAAACACCATGTATGACAAGGTAAACTTTATGGAAGAATTATAATGTACTAAAAATTACATAAAGCTATCGACAAAAACTGGACTTCCATCTTTTTCTGCTTTAAATGCTATGCATGATGTTAATGTCACAGGATTAATTTCATATTTCTTTGACTGGGACATTGTGATCTGGTCATGTATTTTTTTGTAACATTTTTTAGGGCTATGCGAAGATTTGGTCACTGATTTGATTTGGAGGGAATTCGGCCCAATTCAGTGGCTGAATCTCAAAATCAAATCAAAAGACCCTTAAATCCCTGAATTGAATCAGAACCCTCCGAACTGATTCAGAGAGATTCAGAAAGATTCAATGATTTGGTCATAGGCACAGCTTTATGTTTTTTCTACATCCCTCAAGGGACCAGGCAACTCGTGAATGCTGAGATGCTTTGGTGGATGGAGCGTCCCAAAGGAGCGTGGGGAGGCCGCAGAGGCAGAGGACCCGGAAGTGGACCAGAAGCACTTCCAGTCCACATCCAGGTCCACTGGGGAGTCCACCCCCTCCTCCCTCCAGCTTGGGAACTGATGCCTCCGAATCAGCATTGCATCTTCATCTTTGAATTTGGCCAAATCGAATCGGTACAGTGATCTGAATCAACAAATTGAATCACTGTCCCCAATTCAGACTGAATCCAAATCGAATATGGCCCATTTTGCACACCCCTAATTATGGATGATTTATATTCTACTTATACAATGGTCGTGATCATCTTTGCCTTTGGGTTTGAGGAGGGACATCCTGTCCACACTGAAGCCAGTAAGAGTTTTCATCCTGAATCTCAAAATAATAGTGGTATCTTAAATGTGCAGTAAATCATTATCTAGCATTGTTTCTGAGATGCAGTCTTCTAATAGAGAAACATAAGCCTTGCATATCTGTTTTTAAGGGTTTCATTGGATCTCCAGGTGTAGCAGGACAGCCTGGACCTGAAGGAGAAAGGGTAAGTTTAATGAAACATTTATGAAATATTGATACATTTACTATTTTAAAACACGTTATCAGGTAGAGTCCAAGCAATGCAGAAATAAGAGCTCTTATTTCTGTAACTTTTTAAAAAGGCTAATGGGGGAAAAATCATTCTATATAATAATAAAACTATATTAGCATGAATTACATATATAAAATGAAAATAGTATTCAGGTTAATAAATATGCATTGATTATAACCAGAATCTTGGACTTCATTTAAAACTAGGATTTGGAGCCTATTTTCGTGTTATAAAATCAGTGGTGAAAATTTCCATAGGAGTAGCTTTATTATGTATATCAATAACATTTCTTAATTGCCAGCTCTGTGCTTAAGACAAAACAGCTGGTGACAATCTAAAAATAAACAATTGTGATCTTGAACATACTAATGCAATCAAGGAAAGTTATATTTTCACCTTTGTGAGAGAAAAGTCAGGCCCTGCTTACATAAAAATATAATTCAACTAAAATGCCTGGAATGAAGCGAGGTAGTTGGCTGTATTAGTCTGAAATCATGCCAAAGGTGGAAGAGATCTGCATCTTATAGACTGACTAAATCAAAGATGTATAGCATAAGCCAGTGACTCTCAACCAGGGTGTTATAAGATCCTTCAAAGGGTGCCACAGGAAGTGTAAAGAGATAGACAGATAGAAGCAAGCTCAGGCTCTGTGTCCCTAGGCTCCTCCCTGCCCCCACTGTCTGTCGCCTCTACAAAGGGGTAAGCCATATAATAAACAAATTAGGTTTTGAAATGGGGTGCTGCTGAACTTGCAAAATTTATGGAGGGGTACCTTAAGTCTAAGGAGAGGTACCTTGGATCTATAAAAGTTGAGAAATCCTGGCGTAAACTTTTGTCAGCTCAAGATGCTGTGAAAGGATGTGCACAGAGCAATGTGTTAAATTGAGAGAGTGATTTGAATACAAAAATTGGAAAAGGGAGGGAAGGGAGAGTGAGGAGGGAGAACTGCACTTGGAAAGACAAAAAGCAGTAAACCCATAAAGACAAGGCAGGGTCACAAAAGCTAATCCAGGTAATGGACTAAGAATCCGTAGTCCTTGTTTAGACTGTACTTAGAGAGATATCCTCCCCCACAACTTCCCTCTCTTCCTTCCCTGTCTTTTACATTCAAATCACAGTCTCCATATAATAAACTGCTCCTTGCACATCCTTTCACAGCACCTGAGGAAATGATCTTGGTTGAATGAAAGCTTATGTTATAATAGTTTTGATTTAGTTAGTCTATAAGGTGCAAATCTACCCAGCCTTCTAGAACGCAGAGATGACAATGTACATTTTCCGATCCCATGCTTCTCAATGCCTATAACAGGAAATAGGTACATTGTCTGATTTTTCAAGTCATTGTTTCTTATGGCTTTTTGAAATCTATAGGATGTATTAATAATATCAACTTTTAACTTACTTAAGGAAATCTAGATTCTTGGGCTTCTTTTCTTGTTCAGGGTATTCCAGGGCTGCGTGGAAAAAGGGGTCCCAAAGGGAGACAGGTAAGGTTTCTAAAATGTTTTACTACTTTTGTTGGCAAGTTTAAATGAATTCTATAATTTGCTTTATAAATTTAACCAGCTAAGGAAGTTAACATCAGTTTTTTCAGAAATGATATTATACTGTTTCTGTTGCACATACTGTACTGGAAAAATGACATTTGGTAAATTTAACGGTAATTCCAGATAGTTTTAAATGAAGAATTCTTAGCCTGTTGCTCTAATGACCAGTCTGTAATGGGAACACTCAATGCTTGCTACCAAAGGGTTAACAGGGCACAAAAATGCATACACAGATTTTTAAAAATTAATGTTAGTACAACATAGATAAAATATGCAAATAGCCCTCCCTCACTTACTCCACATTACTTACTCACTTGGTCACCAAAACTGGCCAGTGAGTGAGTGAGAACTGGGTCACATAACTCTGCAATGGCAGCACCAAGATGGGAAGAGGTTTCTTCACTTGCTGGAGCCCGGGGTAATACTATGACCAAAGTAATGCAATTAATATGGCACTCTGTAGTGAAAGGTGAACCCTTGTTTGCTTGCAGACAGGACTTTCTACGAGCGCCTCCATAGTTAAGCTTGCCAGTTGCCAGCTTCCAGTGGGAGGATCCCGAGATCCCTACATGCCAACTTTATGGAAATGGGAGATTCTCCCTAGCTTGCTCCTGCAGCCAGCCGGTTGAGGGCAAGCGAAACTCGGGAGCATCTGAACCCCAGGCCTCCAGGCTTGGGCCTGTATGTAGGATACCTGCCAAAAGATTTGGAAGTATCTGAAGCCCCAAGCTAAAAAGTTTGGGGTGAAGGATACTTGCCGGTTGTAGGGCCACATATGGTTCTTGAATGATTCAAAGGATTTGGAACTGATCTGACTGATTTGGCTAATTTGACCTGGGACACAAAAAAAAAATGTCCTTAAAAAAGCTCTTGGAAGGGGGATACTGGGGGGGATGCACCTGGGACCCCACCTCTCCTGCCCTTACCTAGGGCCTGCTAAATCTGGCCCTGGATATGGCCAGTATGGCTAAATCAAACGTTAATAAAGTTACTCTGGGAGGAGCTTAAGGAAATTATTTTCCTTTTGTGTTTCTGTCTCTCCTTGCTTATAAACATGCCTTGGCTCAGGTATTATATCAACTTGGACTTTTTATTAAAATCCCCTGTTCAGGTTGTTATCATTCTGTTTCATTCTGTTACATTAAAAGAAAACTATCACCAGAAGCTCAAATGCAGAAGGAAAAGTTGTTGTTATAGGACAAATCCAGCAGAATGCAAGGCCTCTGTGCCTTTTGAACACTTTTGGGGTACACATTTCAAATAGGTGCTGACCTTGGAGAAATCAGACCCTGCAAATTGAAAATAAAGGTTGTGAACAAAATAAAATGGCTAAGACTTGATCCCCTTCTTTTCAGCCTTCAGTTTTTAGGCCCTGCCTAGGGGTGCGTCTGGTGCATTGGGTTGCATGATGGAGGGTAGCCACAGAATTGTACTGTAGCTGAGGGGAAAGGGTTGAGTCTGTCAGTGGGGTACTTTGAACACAGTTTATGATATAATTTGTGGACCATCTTTATATGTGGACGTGGCTTTGCAGTTGGGGATACCTCTATACTATCAGTGCTATTATGGCATCCAGTAATAATTTTCTCCTGTTAGTTATGTGCAGCATCCTAGCTGGTAGGTAAGGGGATGGGGGGGTCTAGTCCCCTGTGTTTTCAGGCAATCATTTTTCTGGAGTCCTAAAAATATCCACTCCATAGCCACACAGATCCTGATGCCACAAATCCTAAAGCCACAGATACCTCCTGAAAATAAACCCCAAAACACCCCCAGTGCAACACAGATGAAAGGTAGAGAAGAAAAGAGCACCATTCATGCACTAGCCCTTCAATAGCATGAAAGTTATTAGGTTAATAGAATTTCAGTTGGAGGAGAACTATGTACCAGGCTACAGAGAAAGCAAAACCCTTTCCCTCAGTCATGTTCTGAGAAAGAGCACTTGGATACAAAGCAGATGACTTATGTTAAGTCTGGGAGAAAAGGAGGTAATGCTGATGGGGAACTTTGAAGATCTGGTTGAAATTACAACCTTTTCATCAGCTAAAGATGTGACATTTGGTGGGCAAGGTCATATTTAGTCTCAATCTCACTGGGCTGCTTCAGCCCACACACACAACAGTTCTATGTATTTTAAAACTAGCTTTCCATTTAATGCCAAATCTGTTTCTTGAGTCTGAAAAGAATTCCAAGACCTTAACTCTAATTTTGCCAAATCAGTGCTTTAAAGTTCTAGCTATCACTATGCCCAACAAAGCAAAACACTTAAGTACAAGTCTAAATACTTTGCTGAATTAGGGCCTTAGAAGACTGCCTGTTCCTTCAACCCTCACCAGGAAAGCTATGCTTGACCAAGACTTGACTGTCTACAGTAAATTTCTCAATATTGGGCAAGAGCATTCTCAGTAATGGAATGTTGACTTCAGGGCTAGGGACAGACATTACATATCAACCAGTTTAAGTGATCAGAAACTGGTTTAAACGTGTAACAGAACAGATGTTCTGTGCTCATAAACTAGTTTGAAAATAGCTGAAACTGATTTAAGATAAACTTGGTTGAATGTAGTATCAGACTTAACTGATTTGGTTCAAACCAGTTTATGCCATGTCTGTCCCAGACCCCTTGCTGGTTTAAAATAAACCAGACACCTCCAGCATCCTGGCATGCCCTCTGAGCTGGGTGGGGCTCTCTGCTCCACAGCAGGGCTGGCCTCTCTCCTCTGCTCCCTGGCTGGAGCTCCAACAGAGACTTTCAGGCACAGCAGGGTCTGCCTGGCTTCCCCCTACCCTACCCCAACCCCCTCGCTGCTCAAGCGGGAAATCCCCCCCCTCCCTCCCATCTCCCACAGCAGGGACCCCAGTGTCATGGACCCTAGGCATGTGGTATGCTAGCTAATGCAGACATATGTGTGTCTCCAATTTCACTGGGACAGGCAGATAGAACAGTGACCACTTAGGATTGTTTGGAGCTAATCAACAGGTCAGCCTAAGCTGTTCAAGAAGAATTTGAATTAATGGAGAGAGACTATTGTTTTGCTGATGAGGTGATAAACACTGTTATCAGCTTCCTGCTGGCTTGCTTGCCTGTCAGTTTGCTGCAGACAGTATAAAGAAGCAGGGAGGGAGATTGAAAAGCTCTGTATCCTCAATGGATGCATGCACTGCACCTCCTTCCCCCCACCCCACCCACTTCCCTCAGAGTGTTAGCAGGGGGCTAGGCACTCCCACCCCTTGAGCAAAGAGTGGGGGAAAAGCCTGGGATGGTGCAGGCAGACTTCCCTAATCAGAACATCCTGCCAGGGCCTGGCCTGGCTCCTAGCCTGAGCCACTGCAGGCATGTGCCTGAATTTCCTCAGTCCAGAGAGCATGTCTGTCCGGTTGCAAACCAGTTCAGCCTAGCCAGGTTAGACTAACCTGCAAAGACTGAATCAATTCAAGCTCAGGCTTTTTGAATGTCTGTCCATAGCTCAGGATTTCCCAGTGTCAGAAATGCAAGGCCTAGTCTTCTGGTTCAAGTGCAATGCAAGACTCATCTCTTTTCCCTGTAGTAGGATTAGAAAAGATACAGAGAGATCATCAGAGATGCAAAATAGTTTTCATAGCAGGAGGGACTAAAAAGGCTAGCAATTTAATGTGGAAAGGAGAAGGCTGAGTAGAAGAATATGATAGAGGTCTATAAAATAATGAAGGGTGTGAACAAAGTGATTAGGGAACTGCTTTCACCAGCTCCCAGAATGCTAGAACCAGGGGGCATCCACCTCCTCTTCTCATGTCTGTTTCATAAAACCCTACCACTGCTGGGGTCTCCATGGAAACCAGATGGAGCAACACGGGCAGGGTCTGCTGGGACATGGAGTACGCCATAGACCTGATCCAGCCCATGGGCCAGACTTTGCCTGCCCCTCCTCTAGGTATACCCAGTTAAATGCTCTTCTTCTAAAGCATGTATTACTTGTCATATTGGATTCAAGATACTGGGCTAGATAGACTGACCCATTATTGTATTTTTCATGTTTCCAAGCTTTCCTCCAATAAAATTAATGGAAAAAGAATGATCTGATAACTTTTTTTTGGAAAAAGGTAAATATCAGATATGAATTCAGTTTAGAAAGCAGTCAAAGGTTGAGAGATAGACACAAATGTCTTCTTCTAGGTATATGTGATAGAGGATTTTTTTGTTTTCTTTATGTCATGAGAGTCTATGGTAATGGACACATTAGAAGGTATCCATATAGATAGCTATTTTTATATCACTATCATTTTGTTTACTGTCTGAATGGCATTTTATTTACTATAGCAATCATCTGACACAAACTATATCCTTAATATTTGAAATGCTACCAGTTACCAGAGTAACAGAATAATTACAAATATTTATCATATCCTTAGTAATATAACAAATATTATTAAATTTGCGAAATTTTGATTACAAAGATTATGAAGTGTAGAATTGTGTGTCTTATAAATCAGTTGGATGCACAGTATATATTAAGAAATACATATTTTATTCATATTGTATGCACCCGATTTCTTTCCATAATATCTTTGTTTTATGAAATTTGGCCAGTCCTGTAATCATTTAAATGTATTGTTAATTTTGTTACATAAGACACAGCATTTTTTACCATATCTGTCATATTTAAGTTATCTTTCCCTTGGAGATACCGGTTTGCACTTTTCCAGCCTTAATCCTCTTCCAATTTAATGTGGGCAAATATCATTGATGTGCTGTTTGCTGCCATTTCTATACCATCAAGACATTACAACAGATCAGTCTCTGCAGCTTTGCAGCAACCACCTGCCTTCTGTTTTTCATTGCTTTCCTGTCAATAATGTGATTTTCTTTACAAAGAGTTGAGTTGACCCTGGGGAGCCGAACTTGTGTGTAGGACTGCTGGACCACACCAAAGCCTCCCAGGCATATGTGGCTCTTTTACTTGGTTAATGAGAACTGGATGAGGACAGCACAGTGATATGATTCAAAAAAAATTAAAACGATTTGTGCTCCTTTTCTATTGGCAACATCTGAAGGAAGTAAAATAGAATCTATAAGACCTTGGGAGGGAGCAAGAGAGGTCATGGCTGGAGGAACGCAGCAAGTCTCTCAGTCTACTTTCATAGTCCCCTCCAGGCAACAAACGTTAAATATGGCTCAAAATAGAAATATGGCCAATTAGACTCCATCCACATCCTCATAATAACAGAGGATTGCTACTCCTCCTAACTAACCCCTGAAGTCAACACTGAGAAGGTGAATGAGGAAATTCATGCTTCATTTATGTTACTGTTTCAGTCTCTAGCTGTAGACACAGCAAAACAACTGTGCATTAGTTTACAGTGGTAAGGAGAGCTTTGCACCAGAATGATTAGAAATTTAGAGTTTAACCTGGAGCAGTGCTTCACTCTCAGATCTTCCATTGGTTTCCAATACATGTGCTGCATTGAATCTGCTGTCTGAAATACCTTTCAGTTTTTAGGAAAATATTATAGGCACTGGAGAAATGTGGTCTTATGGTAGAGGCACAAAACTGGGAGTCAGGATAACAACATTCCAATGGATACATGCATCATATTGCCCTCATAAAGGCTTAGGAGTGTGACTCTGCCAGTCTTACCTTCAAAGGAAGTTATATGATTGCATATTAGATGGAATTTTGGAATGAGAAAATCAATAAAGGTGTGGTTTGTAATGGGCATCTGCAATATTTTTTTCCTCTCTGCTGGTGTCATCTAACTTTTCATTACCTTTAGATGATCTGTATAGAGATTTTTCAAAGGAGCCTAAGGGAATTAAGTGCCAAAGGAAAACTCATGTATCTGTAGGCTTCTTTGAAAACCCACCTCAGCCTTAGTTAAAAAACAAATAAAAAGCTAGTTGTTTACTCTTGCAAAATTTCTTACCATCACAACACAAACATCCTGCGATCACTGTGGTTTTATAATATGTCCCTTTTGTTACCAGGGTTTTCCAGGTGAATTTGGAAACAGAGGACCCCCTGGTCCAGATGGGAGTCCTGTAAGTATCAAATTGCTGATTGCCTTTGCAATGTGAAATCTGATGTCATTAAAATTTACACTGACAAAACCTGACAAAAAATGAAACATAATATATAACCCTGACCAGAGCTTTTACCCTAAAATGAGAATTGAGGATGTCCACAAGAAAACTTGCTATTGCTAGGTGCTAAGATAGGTTATTGGTTGGAAGTAGGGGTGTGCGAAATGGCACCGTTCTGTTTGAACATAGGTTTCGACGGAACAGCATTTCGTTTTCAATTTCATTTTGATTCGAAACCACTATTCCATTTTGTTTCGTTGAAACAGTAATACTATTTTGACACTGTTTCAATGTTTCACCCATAGGCTATAATGAGGAAGCTTAAAACAGCCTCTCTCATCCGGCAGGCAGATCAGGGGCCCACAACCCCAGGAGGGCTGCGGGGGCTGTGCCAGTCCTCCCGGGGTTGCAGCCCCCAATCGGCCTGCCAGATGACGGAGGGAAGCTGGGTGCTGCTACCTGGGGTTGGGGATCTGGGGAAGGGAACTGAGCCCGATCACTCAGTTCCCCTCCCCAGCACTGGGATCAATCGAGCTAGGGAAGGGAACTGAGTCCGATCGCTCAGTTCTCCTCCCCAGCTGGGCTGAGTTCCCCTCCCCAGTGCTGTGATCAGGCTGGGGAAAGGAACGCAGCTCAGCTGGGCTGAGTTCCTTTCCCCAGCCTGATCATAGCGCTGGGGAGGGGACTCAGCTCTATTGTAGTGCTGGGGAGCGATCGGGCTCTGTTCCGTTCCCCAGCCCTATTGCAGCACTGGGGAAGAGCACTGAACCCAGGCTCAGTTCCCTTCCCGTGGGCTGCAATTGGCTTCCCACAGCCTGGCCGTGGGAAGCAGGAAGAGCCAGGGCTGTGCTCTCCGCTGAGCTGAACCACATGGGGTTGCAGAGCCGCTGGAAGCGCAGCCCTAGTTCTCTCCTGTCTCCCACCACCTGGCTTCTTCGAAATTTGAAACTTTCAAAATGTTTCTGCTAGCCTCATTTTATTTCAAAGCTGTTTTGAAGCCCTTTGTTTCATTTCAGTGTCGCTGTTTCAAGCTCAAAATGAGTCAAAACAGTGTTGAAAAGAAACAGCCAGCAAAATTTCGCACAGGCCTAGTTGGCAGTGCTATAAGATCCTGGAAAGCAAGGAGCTCCTAAAAGCTGCTGATTGCATATAGCTCCCATTGGGAGCTGCAGGCATTTGGCAACTTTGAGAATTAGCCTGTTCCTGTTTAAGGCTAAGTAGAAAAAATAGATTGTTACTAAAATTCTGAATGTCTAAGGTCTTAGGATATGAATTGCCTTGGTATAATTAAATCAGAGTCTGATTTGTGTACCAGGAAATTGGCTTTTGTATGCTTACTTATTTGCTAATCAGAATGCTTGGGGAAGAGATCTCTTTTATTAGACCAACTAGATAGTTGCAAAAATATATATATTTGCAAGCTTTTGGGCGCGCACACCCTACCTCAGGCATAGGAGAGTGCAAAATTGTAAAATTTCTCTCTGGTGGAAATGAAAATTCATATTTCACAGGACAGCTGAAAGATAGTATAAGATCTCGTGGTTGGAAAAGCTCATTTTATGCAAAATAGGCTCAGATTAAGGTTGGAGCAGTCTGTTTACCTCGGAGTTGTCTGGTGGCAAGCAGGATATTGAATTATGCTTCTTTCTTGTTATGATGATTCATACTTCTTTGCTAGGTTTTCTCTTTGAACTACTACTGAATAAGCTTCAGACCAGACTTTAGCTAGTCTACCATTTAGTAAATAAGCATTAGCAAAGTGACTGATTTTTCGTTGGTTGCACATCTTCAGCCAAGCTCTAATGAGCAACGCTCAAAATATATGAGTTGTGTCACTGTTAAGGTATTCATTTTCAAAGGAATTGTCTTGCTCCATTCCCAGGTGACATTGTCTACAGCTCCCTAACCTGGGTTTCCCTTGACATAAAAGAGTTCCCAGAATATAAAGGGCTAGGATAGTTGGCTCATCATCAGTACCTTTCCCATAGGCAGAGAGGTGGGGGGAGGAGTGGCTGGATTACAGTTCTTAGCTTCTACATGGTCCCTTGGGAACCACTGCCAGTTGGGGTTCAGGGGCTGTTCTAAATAGGACTGAGGGCAGGAGGTAGGCAGGGAACCAGGGATCTTGTAACCAGCTCTTTGAGGAACAGCCCTCCTCTACTGCATCACTTGGAATCTCACTGAAGCAGAGACTCTGGTCTCAGTAAATGCTGCTGGTCTCATTATTTCCCTGTGGTGCCAGCATTTTCACGCATATTTTGCCTTTCTGACCCATGGAACTAAACGATTTGGGTAATGTAATATCTTACATTTATGCAGCACTTTTCACCTGGAAAGCATTTTAAAGGCTTTATAAATTTAACCAACTACTATACAAGTTACGCACAGGGGTCAGTTCTTCCTTACTTCCTCCCACACTGCCACCTCCCACAGCAAAGCAGATGCATTCTTTTCAGAAGACCTGGAGGGCTAAAGCAACACTTGAATGGAGACAAATTTAGAAAATCTAGATCTTAAGTTATAGACTTAAACAGCACAAAGAACTACTTTTAGTGCCAAACATTTGAAAATGAGTTCCTTCTAATCTGCCAAGACAGCTGCTGATAGCACTGACTGCTTGACAGCCAGCCCAAACCCCACCCTGCAGGGCTTGTTCGGGCAAGGTGCCAGACTTGCAGCTGCAAGGGGCTTAGGTCAGATTGCAGTGCTAATGTGATATGTACTGAGCATACTCTAGGGCTGGTGATGTGGAGCAGGGAGCTCTGGGGTGATAAGAGCTACCTGAGGACTCAGGGTATCTTCTCTTTTTCTCATCTCTGGCTGGAATATGTTAGATGTACCCACATTCCTGCCCTGGTCTATCTAACAGAGTAACAATATCGACTGTCCATTCAACCCTCGCAACCTCTGAACGATATACATCAACTCTGGGGAAATTCCCTGTCCGTGCTGTGCTGTGGGATAGAGCCCTCCTTATTGGTGGTGAAAAGTGGCTTGGAGAAAGTGAATGGGTAGTAGGAAGAGGAAAAAGGCACTCTTTGAATCTTGGTTCTGACAGCTGGAGGGCTCGATAAAGCAGCTTCACATCGGGCCCAGATTCACCTTCGTGAAGACCACTCCAACTTTCTGGTGGGCAGTGATGCACTGAGCCCTGGATCTTATTTTCATCACCCGGCAGGCCATGTGGTGATTAAAATGAACATACTGTGACTATCAGTGGGAAGAATGCAGCCCTGGGAGGCTAATAGAGTCTATAAGGTTTCAGTCTACCCCACCTTCTCATAGAGATTTGCCTGCTCTGTACAGGGTATGCAGTCTTTGTGGCTAAGTACTGTTGGCCACAGGGCAATAATACGACCAGAATGGATTAGAGTGGACTTGGTAGCTTGTTACATTTCCTAAAAATGTTCACCGCATTTTATTTTCTTAAGTTTAGGTTTTAAATAAAAATCCAGCTGTAATAAAATGTATTTCAGATGTGCAGTAATCTTAGTTGCTTCCTGGCTACATGTTGTAAAATTTCATGTATTTCGGGCCCTGCTGCACATTACATTTAAGACATGATTAACCAGGTAATCACGTCTTAAGTTGTAACCCAGCCACATGTTAAATCAATTAATAGTGTCATAAAACAAGGAATAAACCACAAAGTTTTTCCACAAAAAATGTGTAGTAACTTTGTGACTGGTTCCTATCACACCATTAATTGAATGTGTGGCCAGGAGTGCTCCCACAGCTGGGAGCCCCATCAGCTGATATGGGCTCCCAGCCGCAGGGGTGCACCCGCCATCAGCTGACAAGGCTCCTAGCCGTAGGACCTTGCCACTTGCTGGTGTGGGGGCACGTGGAATGTGATCCTGGGCTCCCCCTGCACTGGCAAGAAGGAGTGATGGGATCCGATGCTCAATCCCAGTCATGCTTCCAAACATGCATGCATGGCAGGGCATGAAGCGAGATCATGTGGCTCATGTATCAGATCCCATCGTATCTTACCTGCATTTTCTGGCAGGGGCCTCAGGGTGATAGAGACTATTGTCTATCATCATCTTTAAAAGACATCTGTACAATTTTTTAAAAATAAAGCCAGTTCCCTTTTTGACTTCTTAGTGATGAATAAAGATGTGAGCAATGTAAGTGTGCTTTTTCTCCCCCAAGAAAAGCTGCTTTCCTTAAGTTTGTTTCACCTCTTTTAAAATCTTGGAATGTCATATCTAATTTGGTTTTGCGGGGTTGGGGTGGTTATGTCTATAATGCTAAATCTATTTCCAGGTCTCATATCTTAATAAAAAGGTTTTAGAGAATATGTCTTTTATGTGCGATGTTAGTTACAGTAGTTACTCTGCAGGCCCTTTTTCTATATCAGAAACAAGCAGGCACTCCAGTTTTTTCTTTGCAGCTCGAAGAGTATCCTAAAATATTAGATTAAAGTTCTGATTGTCCCAAATTTACTTTTTTTAAAGGGAATTGTTGGTGGTGTAGGACCTCCTGGATTTCCAGGGCTGAGGGTGAGTAAACATTCCCCCCGCCCCACACCCCCAGCCTTTTTTTTTTGTACTTCATTAAAGCATTTACATTGTGTCCCTTTGCCCAAAGTCTTAATAATAAGTCTCAAAATTGTGAGTTTCTGAGATATTATTTAAAACTATCTTCATTTCAGTGACCTACCCTGAGTATTCTGGTATTATCATTTATATCAATGCTCAGAAGAGGTGGAACATTTCTCTACTTACTGCTGATCTGCTGAGTTGGATATTTTAGTTTGAAAATATTAAATTGCTAGTTTATTCCCCCCTCTCATTTTTACTTTTTTGTTAGGTACAGTATTTTGATATATGTAACATAATGAAGGTCTGTTACTTAATTCAACTGTAGTATGTCTGCTGAATGTTTAAAAGCAATATCACATTGAGCTAATTCTTGTACACTGTAAATTTTTCTATTTTCTATTACTGAATACATTCTTAGTATAAGGGTGTAGGTTGTACCCGTGTTGGTCTAAGGACATAGGCAGACAAGGTTCTTTGGGTGAATCAACCACAAACCCCCCCAAAAAACATCAGATTGGACACCTCATAGTGGATGAAACCCTAACCTAGACCGCTACATTACTGCTTCAGGGAAAGAATGAACAATGAAATAATCAACAATACACACTACCATAACAACCCCTCTCTACCAGAGAAAGAGGGCATAGAATCTCTAAGATCTAACCTCCAAATAGTAATAAAACCAGCAGATAAAGGAGGAGCTGTAGCCATCCTAAACTGTGAAGACTACATAAAGGAAGCCAACAGACAACTCTCTCACACCACCTACTACAAAGAGCTACAAGAAGATCCTACTCATCTTTTCACCATGAAACTCAATAATACCATCAAATCATTTCTATCAGGACTACAAGAAAAACTATAGACCTTGATCCCCCCCACTAGCCAACCCAGGGACTTTTTACATGCTCCCTAAAATCTACAAACAAGGGAACCCTGGCAGACCTATCATATCCAACCATGGGACCCTAACTGAGGAAATACCAGGTTTCATTGAATCAATCCTAAAACTGCTTGTCACCCAAAGAGCAAGTTTTGTCCAAGACACTACAGACTTTCTAAGGAAAATTAAAAATATAGACCACCTTCCCAGCAACACCCTCCTAGCCACCATGGACGTTACCAGCCTATATACCAGCATCCCACACCAGGATGGCATATCTACAAGAGCAAGATTACAATTCAGAGTACAGACCCAAAGATATTACTGACCTTACACACTTCATACTCACACACAGCAATTTCACTTTTAATAACCAACACTTCCTCCAGACCATGGGCACAGCTACGGACACAAAAATGGCCGCACAGTATGCCAACCTTTTTATGAGCCACTTGGAAGAAGAATTCCTCAAGGACTGCACCTTCAAACCCTTACTATACTTAAGATATATCAATGACATCTTCATCATTTGGATGGAAAACCTGCAATCTGATTGAGTTCTATCAGAAACTCAACAATCACCATCCCTCCATCCGACTTTCTCTAGAATACTCCAGGACCAACATCTCCTTTTTAGACATTATGATCAGCATCCATAATGGCAAAATACTGACCTCATTATACAAGAAATCCACAGACCTGCACATATCTGCACAGAACCAGCAATCACCCTAAACACGCCAAAAAAGCTGTGATATACAGCCAAGCCCTCAGATACCACTGAATTTGCACTGGGGAGAACACCTCGGATTGCCACCTCATCAATCTTAAAAAGACTTTCACCCAAGAAGGACACTCCTCCAGAGAGAGAGATCACACATTTGAAAGAGCCACCAGAATACCACATTGGGTATTCCTGTACAGAAGAAAACCCCCCACGAATCGCACACCACTGGTTATGACATATCACCCATCCCTCAAACCTATACAGAAAATCCACAAACAATTGAAACCCATTCTAGAAAGAGACCTTATTCTTAAAAAGATTTTCCCAGAGCCACCCCATCCTAGCCTTCAAACAAGCACCACACCTCACTAACCTCATCACCAGAAACAAACTTCCTCAGACCCAGAACACACTGAATGGATCCAGACCATGCCAGTACAAGAAATGCAAAACCTGCCAACACATCTCCACCACACCCACAATTACTACACCCAACACCAGAGCCATCAGCATTCCTGGATCTTACAGCTGCACCTCCAGAAATGTAATATTTCCATCCAATGCACCAAATGCCCAGATGGAAAATATGTAGGAGAGGCCAAACAACAACTGTGCACCTGAATGATCACACACTGGAAATCTGTCAAAGACAGAAATACCCAATTACCGGTGGGGGCACATTTCTCACACGAAAACCACTCTCTCTCCAATCTCTCCATTCTAATCCTCAAAGGAAACTTACAAAACACTTCTCAGAGACAAGCCTATGAACTTCACTTCATCAACCTCCTAGATACAAAAAATCATGGACTAAATATAGACATTGGATTTGTGACACATTATAACCTGCCTAACATCTGACTCCCCAGGTACCTCTCCGCTATCCATGCCCCTTCTCCCCCACCCAGCCTGTCTCTTAACCACTGACTCCTCAATCTACATCTTCACTGACTGCCTGTCTTGTATGCATACCAGACCAGCCTCTGGCTTCTTTAGATTTCATTCCATCCAGGAAGAACACACACCAGCTGCTGAAACTTCCTCAGCCTGATGAAGGGTTTTTAAACCCGAAAGCTTGCTTAATTTTTTTCCCAACAATTTAAGTTGGTCTAATAAAAGAAACGAGATTCACCCAAATAACCTTGCCTTCTTAGTATAAGTATTTCTTGACCATAATGTGGATGTGACCATATTTCTACAGTGTCCCACCCTCCACAGAATAGATTTATGAATATCATGCTGCCTTCATGAGCTTCCTTAGCTCAAATGATAGCCCTTCATACTCTAGTTATGAAAATCGCCAAATGACAGTGTCAGAGCTAGACAGTGTCAGGGTTAAATAATCAAGCACACCTAGCCATATGGAGGAGTAGGGGTGTATTTATTGTTTTAGTTAGGAAAGCCTAGAATCATTTTTTTGTCTGTTTGAGGTTTTAAGTTCTAAACCATTCTTGATATTTTTGCTTCTTCAAAGTATGGTCATCTAAATGTGTTTTAAGAAATATGCTGCAGTTGAGTTCTTATATTCTTTAACTGTTATTGTATGTTTATAATACAAAATTAAAATACTTATATAAAAGTACATTATCCCTGGTTGATTGAGGTTTGTCATCGTAGTATACAAGGAACATTTTCTTGGCAAACGAGTCCAGGTAGATACAAGGTGCACACACATTTTTACTTACATGAGTTGTCTCATTTGAATCAGTTATGCAACTCAGAATGTAACAGTTTGCACTTTTGCACATTTGCTTTTGCATTACAATTTGCTTTTCTCTCTCTTACTGTAGCTTTCTCTGGAATTTTGCCTTCAATAATTTAACAGCACATTCATTTAAAAATTGTTGACAGCCTGTTTTATGTTATTTCTGATTAAGAAATTGTAACACATGATTAAGATGTAAACCTTCCAGCATAGACCTGTTAGGAATTTGCCATCTATGACTCAAGCTGTTGTCATTTAAAAAGGTGAAAGAGAACCTAATGGATGTGTACACTGTATTTGAGTGTTAAACATTCCCATCTCCTTGGGAAGAGGTATGTATCTGAAAGGGTAGGTTGAACATTTTTGTGTCCACTGATGATCATCTAACATTTCTAATAACAGAAACTATTAGGGGATGATAAATAAGCCTGTGCAGTTGTATTTTCTTCAGTCAACCAATAAGAAAGGAGTGTAAGGGGTTTCCTGACACCTGGAATACAGAAATGGGGGGATTACCTTACCTAACAGGTATTTGGAGGGGTTGGCTCCATATTCACCATGCTCTGCAGGACTCCAGCTGCATAAGACTTGGTTTTGTTTGATGCCTCAATGCAACTCTTCCTTTTCTGCTGTTTATACCATGGCTTGAGGTTTCAGAATTAAATGTCATTTTCTTGGGTTGACATCATGACACAAACATAGTGCAAGCCTGCTGAGCCTGCAGTGTTCAGGTTTGAGGTAATAATACAATAGGAGCAGTTCTTTACCATGTCTACACACTAGGGGTGTGCAAAACAAGCCCTATTTGTTTCGAATCAGGGACAGTGATTTGATTAATTGATTCAGATCACTGTCCCCAATTTGATTCGGCCAAATCCAAATCTGAAGATTTGATGCTGATTCAGAGAATCAGCGATTCAGACATAGACACAGCTTTAAATGTTTTTTCTGCATACCTCAAGGTACCAGGCGCAGCTCCTGAATGCTGCGATGCTGGGGCAGATGGAGCATCCCACAGGAGCACAGGGAGCCCCCCCACGTGCTCGGCAGCGAACCCACAAGTGGACCAGAATTGCTTTTGGTCCACTTCCAGGTCTGCTGCTAAGTGTGCTGGAGACCCCCCTGCGCTTCTGTGGGATACTCCATGTGCCCCAGCATAGCAGTATTCACGACCCACCTGCTACCTAGAGATATGTAGAAAAAACATTTAAAGCTGTGTCTGTGTCTGAATCACCAAATCATTCCGAATCGATTCAGAGAGTTCCAATTCTATTCAGAGAGTCTAAAGGGTCCTCTAATTCGATTCAGATTCAGAGATTTGGCCATCGAATTGGGCCAAATCTCTGCTGAATCAAATCAGGGACCGAAGCTTCACACAGCCCTAGAAGAGTCAGGGCCTTGTCTTACATGTTGCTTAGCAGCAATCATTTTCATAGAGGGTTTGAGGGTAAATATGCTTTATCAAATAGGAATCCTTCATGCCTCTCCAAGTTCCTCAGAGTTCAAAGCCATGCTGGAGAACATTATTCTCACTTTTAAAAATGGAAAGGCTTCAGCTGGCTCTTATATTAACCCACAGCTCTGCCACTTGCACATGTTAAAATATCTACATGAGGATGGCCTGTTTGTAGACAAGAAGGGCT